GCTGTGAAGTGGAAGTTGTGTTGTGGGTAGAGAGGACCTGTCTGAAAAGAGGGGAAGTCTCATTACAGGTAGTGGCTGCTGTTTGGCCATCCCTTTCTGGAGCAGGCAAGCCCTTGGACTCCTGCACTCTTAAATGCCATTTTATTACTGATTTCAGAGTGGAAGGGAGAAGGAAAGAGAGAGAAACATCAGTGATGGGAGAGAATCATTGACTGGCTGCCTCCTGCACATCCTACTGGGGAATCAAGCCAGTAGGCATGTGCCCTTGCCTACTGTACTTTGGTTGCAGGTTCCCCGGAGTCAAACCTGAGACCCTTCAGTCTGCAGGCTGACGCGCTATCCACCGAGCAAACCAGCTAGGGCTTGAGTGCCTTTTTAAATACATGGAGCGTTCGTTGTGTCTTTGACATTCTAAAAAGAAAAAAATTGCAACCCTAATGTCTTAGTTTTCCTAAGCCAACTGGAAAAAGGACATCCCTGCCTTGAGGTTTTTCTTTCAAGTGAAAGATTGCCCTGGGTACCTTGACATATGCTGCCGACACCCCTCCCCATGTCCCCCGCCCCCCTTTACAGTCTCATGCCTTCCTGTGACCTTCATCCTGGTCACCTGCTTCACAGCATTTCCAGAAATGCGGCATCATCTTGTGAAGCTGAGAATGGATCAGGCTTAATTCCTACTGTACCTGCTAGTCACCTGAGAAGGCCCATTTTTCATGGTGGTTCCTTAAGCATATTAGTGGTGTCAGATAGCTTTTAACAAACTAAATGTTTTCTCAAGGTAACAAGAGTCTCTAGGTGTGAAATTAACCCTTTCTCCTTCCCCTAGTCAACAGACTTCAGTTTTTTAAAAAAGAGTGAGTGGTGGTATCCACAGGAAGGGTTAGTGAGAGAACTGGCACCTTTAGATCATGGTCTGTGTGGACGGGCAGCTGTTCAAGATGGAAATGAAGTCTCACTAAATGGTGAGCCATACCCACCATGTGTTCTGTCCCCTACGCTGGTCTTTCACTTTCCACTCTAACTTTTCTTCTGTTTTTGTTGTTGTTAATCCTCATTGATTTTTAGAAAATGGAAGGGAGAGGGAGAGACAGAAACAGTGATGTGAGAGAGACATTGATTGGTTGCCTCCTGCACGCACCCTGACCAGGGCCGGGGAACCTGCAACCAAAGTACAGGACCTTGACCGAATTGAACCCGGGACCCTTCAGTCCACAGGCCTACGCTGTAGCCACTGAATCAAACCAGCTAGGGCTTTTCTTCTGTTTTTGATTTCTTTTAACACATACTACTTTTATAATTTAAAAATATTTTTAAAGGCTTATAACCAAATTAAACTTTTAAGGTATCATCTGTCTGCACTCCTACCCTCCAACTGTCATTGTTAAATATGAATACTGAGAAAACAGACTTTATTGAGGAATTCTTAAATATCTGAGAATAAGGTATCTGGATGCATTTCCTCATCCCTAAGAGTCTAAATTAGCAGATCAAGTAAAGCATGCATAGTCAGGACACAGAGAGAGGGCAGGTGACCCTCTTCAATGGAAAGTGACATACCCCCATTAAGTAGGCAAACCTATTGACTAAAAAAAAGAAAAAATCCCAGGTTCGATTCCAGTCAAGGGCATGTACCTTGGTTGCGGGCACATCCCCAGTAGGTGTGCAGGAGGCAGCAGATCGATGTTTCTCTCTCATCGATGTTTCTCTCTATCCCTCTCCCTTCCTCTCTGTAAAAAATCAATAAAATATATTTAAAGAAGAAAAAAAGCCCGGCTGGCGTGGCTCAGTGGTTGAGCATTGACCTATGAACCAGAAGCCACGGTTTGATTCCTGGTCAGGGTACATACCTGGGTTGCAGGCCTGATCCCCAGTGAGGTGTACAGGAGGCAGCCAATCAATGATTCTTATTGATGTTTCTATCTCTCCCTCTCTGAAATCAATAAAAACATATTTTTTTAAAAAATGAGGAGGGAGAGGTCAATGGGGGAAAGGAATCATGTAATGCTTTAAACAATAAAGAATTAAAAAAAAAAGATGCAGACCAATACACAGTTATCCTGAGAACAAAGTCATTTCATGTAAAATGATGGATGAGTCTTCCTAATTGCAAGTGTGGGCAACCTGATTCTTGCTTAAGCATTCCCAGCCTCCACCTCATTTTTTAAAAAATGTGTTTTTTTTTTAAATATATTTTATTGATTTTTTACAGAGAGAAAGGGAGAGAGATAGAGAGTTAGAAACATCGATGAGAGAGAAACATCGATCAGCTGCCTCCTGCACATCTCCTACTGGGGATGTGCCCGCAACCCAGGTACATGCCCTTGACCGGAATCGAACCTGGGACCTTTCAGTCCGCAGGCCGACGCTCTATCCACTGAGCCAAACCGGTTTCGGCTTTAAAAAATGTTTTTATTGATTTTTATAGAGGGAGAGGGATTGATAGAAACATTGATGAGAGAATCATTGATCAGCTGCCTCCTGCACTCCTCTCACACTGGGGATTGAGCCAACAACCCAGGCATGTGCCCCGACTGGGAATCCAACCGTGACCTCCTGGCTCATTGGTAGATGCTCAACAATTGAGTCACTCCGGGCAGGCTCCATCTCGTTCTTAATGGCCATCCCACAGTGGAGTTAGCAGGAGGGTTGTAATGTGAGCAAGGTGCTCAAGGATGGGATGAGGGCCTTTCTTGCATCACTAAGTTTAAAAATTGCTTAAAAGATGTCAGAAGGTCCTTCTTACATTTAAAATAGTGAATAAGATGTTTTATACAAGCAGAACCAGATAAAAGATCAAGTGTATTTGCGTTCATCCCAACTCACCCTTTAATTAGCTTAATACCCTTGGCATATGACTTAACTGAGCTCGTTTTCTAGTTCCTAAAAGTGTGCTAATATCTACCACCAAGAAGTAATGTGAGCATAAAGGTGTATATTGAGAATAAGGTAAGTGTTGGCACCTAACAGGCATTCATGGCAGGTAATTCCCTAAGAGGGCTGGCCCCGGCCAGTGTGGCTCAGTTGTTGAGTGTTGACCTATGAACCAGGAGATCATGGTTTGATTCCATCAGGGCACATGCCTGAGTTGTGGACTCGATCCCCAGTGTGGGGTGTGCAGGAGACAGCCGATCAATGATTCTCATCATTGATTATTTCTACCTCCCTCTCCCTCTCAAATCAATCTATATTATAAAAGGCCAGTAGCTGGAACGCCGAAATGCTGGAAGGACCAAATGACCAGGCACCAGAAAGTGCATGGAGCACCTCTTAGTCACTCCCCCCCCCCTGCCCCGCCCGATTTTGCACACTGGGTCTCCAGTAATAATGTATTAAAAAAAAAAAAAAGAGGGCTGGTGACTAAGTGGGAATGATGACCATACTCAGTCTTTACAAAGGAACAAACTCCATGTGTCGAAGTGATGTTGAAAGAGAACTGAGTTCCAACCCCAGCTGTGGGGCCCAGGGACTAGTGACTTGTCCAAATCTCTCCTTCAACGAGAAGTTAGATGAGTCATTTAGAGAAGTGGTTCTCGGACTTGAGCCTGCAGCGGAGCTGCCTGGATGGTTTGTGAAGATGTATTTGCTTGGTCCCATCCTGTTCTGGGTACAGTAGGTATGAGATGGAGCCAAAAAACTTGGCGTTTCTAACAAGTTCCCAGGTGATGCTGATGCTGCTAACCTGGGAACATTGGAGAATCACTTGCTAGACAATTCTTACATGCCAGCAGTTGAGAATTGTGTCTGTATTAAAGTCGTTTCACCAAAGACTAAACAAGGACAGCAGCCATCACCTGGTTTAAGTACATGGATGCAACACCATTTCTCCACCAAGTCTTCCCCTTTCCTATCCCTCATCCTTCATCAGGGAGACATAACCTTGAATCTCAGAAGCAAGCTTGATGTGTGTGTGTGACTTGTCAGTGAGTCACTCAACAGGTTTTGGACAGCTAAATTCCCTAAGGCTAGAACACCCCTAGGGAAAGTGGTCAGGCTCATCATCTGAATCTCAGCCTAGGGAAAGAGAAGCCCTGCAAGGAAACGGCAGGGAACTGTAACCTCAAATTACTCTGGTGCTTTGGCCCAGCTTCCCATTTGGGGAGAAGAGGCTACTGCCGGTAGGAGGCAAGGAAACAACTGGGCTGTAAGAGCCACCCCAGCATTCACCAAGTCCTTTATCCATAAAAATGCCTGGAGACTTCTCGTGTGTCCTAAAGACACTGGGCGCTGAGCAGTAGACTGGGGATGAAAGGCAGGATGTCCAACATGTTTAGTTGGTTAGAGCATCATCCCAATGCACCAAGGTTGCAGTTTGATCCCTGGTCAGGGAACATACAAAAATCAACCACTGACTTGGAGTGAACACACAGTACAGTGTACAGATGACATATCGTAGAATTGTGCACCTGAAACCTATATAATTGTTAACCAGTGTCACCCCTATAAATTCAATAGGAAAATCAAGCAAAAAATGCATAAAGTAGGAAAAAATCAATGTCTAAAATCATTTTAAAAATAAAACACAAAGCACTTTAAAGCACAGAGAAAGCTGTGGGGTTTCCTGGGGCAAGGGTGAACACTCTTTTGGCACACATCATTCAAAATGTAAAACAAAACCGTCCCTGGGCCTTGATCCCCATAAGAAGGCCAAGTCTTTTTATGAGGGGCTATAATAGGTCATTCTTGGCTTCAGCTTTCTGGCCTCAGCTGTAGAGACAGCGTGAGAAAAGGCTGCTGGAGGGAAGGGTGCCTGCTCAGAGGAGGAGAGGGTCCTTGGAAAGTCTGCAGCTGGCAGATTCCACAAGAGCCCCCACTGATGCTCCAAATAGTGAGGACGAAGCAGACAGCAAAGGCAGTGCTGACACTATTAAAGGAAAAAAAGCCTTCCATCAAGGCCCTGCCACCCATCTGTCTTCCTCTATGACTGGGCTTAACACAGTCCCACTTCCTATGAGGACTCAAAGTTTTAAAGCTGTGCACAAGGAGACAAAAAAAATCACATCTAGGTTTATAGGCATTTAATAGTTTACCAATTGGTACAATAAGATTTTTTAATATGCAGAAAACATGAATAAATTTTTGTTTTACACAGTCTGAGAGCAACAAATCTTACTGTAAAACACAAGAGCAATATTATATACATTCCTTTACTGATTTTTTTTTAAATTGTGTCAACATCTTCAGTTAACTCTTACAATCTGGGGAACTGTTTTCTCCAAACACCACCTCTGCAACGTTCATGAAATCAATGCTTGCCTTCGTGTCAGTGTCGGTCAGAATCAACTTCTAACCCGAAGATTTTGTGTTTATTTTTGTCATCTTCAGAGTGAGCTTTAGGGATGACGGAAGGATAGGCAGGACAAGAAAGCAGCTACTTACATGATAATAGTGTAAAGATAAAAAGGCCAGTTCAGTCCAGTCATGACTTGTAAATCCAGCTTGCCCTCCCCCCACCCCACTGGAAAAAAAACAAAAACAAAAAAGCCCTTTCCACCAATTTTGTACATGTTGCTTCTCTACCAGGAGAGTCTTCTTTGCATCATCTCGATTAACAGACTGGATTTATATACAGCTGGACAGAAAGAGGAACCATTTTAAGTGCCTTGTCCTTCAATCCAACACTTTTAACGTCAGTTGCTTAAGGATTATCAAGCCACCACTGTCAACAAACAAAATATCCTTTACTTTTAAATAGTTTTTCTTTAAATAAATTTACAAAAAACTATTTAATGAGTGATTATTACCTGGAAGTTCACACAGAAACAGAAAGAGGCAAACAGGAGAGCAGGGCACTGACAGTAAGGAGACTGGGCTTGGTGATCTAGAGCCAAAGCTTCCAAAGACTACAGTGAGCGCCCCATGGCCCGGACGACTTGCTAACACTAGTGATTTTAGAGCAGTGCTCTGGGCACACCATTGGTCACACCACACATGGACGAAACTGGACGGTCTTAGTCTCCTAAAGTGCAAGATGCCATGTCAAAAAGCAACTATTCTCCAAGTGATGTCTAAACCAGTTTCCGTGGCTTGCACTTCCAAGAGTGCAGCGAGGACTTCTTGGGCATGTTATATTAGGGTGGCACTGGAATGTCTTTTCACACAGACACAAGTCAATAATCATCTGAGGATGCGATTCTACCAGCTTTTTATTTCATAAATAAATGGCCAATTTGATTGAGAAAGTGACAAAGCAGCAGTGAACCTCTAAACCAATTAATAAATTCCTCTACTCACAATCCAAACCAGTAACCTTATCATTGTACTTATCCCAGGCAAGGCACAGGGTTAGATAGCAGACAGAGAAAACGGGAAGAAAGGGCATCAACAGGGCAGTTTCAAACAACAGTACAGGAAACCTCTGAAAATCGGATTCTGGATGGATCACTCTCCCCCACCCCCTCATTATTCAAACAGGGCTCCTTACATTTGGATCCAGTTGAGGACCATCCCTGAGATTCAAATGTTCGCTGCTTCTTAAATGGAGGATGTCTGGTAATTCAACTAAGCAGCAGGCTGTGGCAATCTCCCAAGGAAGGAAACTTGGTTTACAGAGTAACAACGTCTCTCCTTCTTTGTCAACAAGAGTCACTGTATGCTGCGGGAGAAGAACCCAGTGGACAGCAGCTTTGTTTCCTCCTAAATCGGTACCATTTTTTCCTTTATTGTTTGTATCTATGAATGATTTCTAGATGTTGTGGCTTACCCTTCAACAATTTGTGTTGCTACATGCTAAAAATGAATTAAAATACAAGACATTTATACATGTACAAACAAATGTTAAGATGCACCATTTCTAGGTATATTTCTTAAAACAGGACAGGAAATAGCAGCAAACAAGAACAAAGATATTTTCCATAGCTTTTGTAGAAAAATCCAGTCAGAACAGCTAAGGAGAAAACAAACAAACAAAAAAAGACTTCTCAGTGTGAGCAGGGTTGTGAGGCAGTATTGTCCTGAAAGTTATTCTGAGCTTAAGAAATTAGCTTAAGTTGTAATTTTTGTCCTCAAAAATAGCCATTAGTTCTCAAAAACACTTTTCCTTCCAGAGAGGTCTTTCAGGAATTAAAAACAAATAAGCAAACAAACAAAAATACACAAGCTAGACATAAAACTTTTAGTAAATATACGATCTATTCTCTGTGTATCTACAGGACATTAATTCTAACCCTTTGTCTTTTCCAGAAACCAACTTTCCATTAAATACTAAAAGGAACGTTTTAAAAACCACATTAAACAAATGAATAAAATGAAATTCAGAATAAATTTGTTAAACTGTTTTTGTTATTTCATTAACTTTTCAAATAACCATTAAAAAAAAAACCTGGTTAGCTAAGCAATAAAATTTTTTAATAATTTGTAATGGAATATTATTTCCAAAGTCATAGACAAAAATTCTCTTAAATTTACTTGTAGTAACTTTGGATCACAATACACAATGTATCAGGGAAATGTAAAATGCTGAACTGCCAAATTGGGGGTAGAGGCAGATAATGGAAGTTATTTTTTAAAAATATATATTTTTATTGATTTCAGAGAGAAAGGAAGAGGGAGAGAGAAACATCAATGATGAGAGGGAATCATTGATCGGCTGCCTCCTGCATGCCCCACACAGGGGATCGAGCCCGCAACCAGGGCACGTGCCCTGACCTGGAATCAAACCTGGGTGGACCCCCTGGTTCATAGGTTGAGGCCCAACCACTGAGCCACACTGGCTAGGCAGAAGTGATTTTCCTGTGAGTGGGAAAAATTCCCATAGACTCAGACCTAGTTTTCAGAAGCGTTAAGATCAAAAAGGGTTTATTCTAAAGCACGGTATTCCACAGCAAGATTTATTCTATTTGTGTATTTTAGCACTTCTTCAAAAACCCAGGGCCCAAGGACATGGAGGTTGTATGTGTGTGATATACATATACAGACTTATCCACTTAATAGATAGGTCCATATGCTTATAAACATTTATATATAAACAAAAGGTGAAAACACAGTACATTTTATGCACGCTCCATTAAACCCTGTCATTTTTAACTTGCAAGTTAAACACAGTTCAAATTGGTCAGATTCCTGTTGAAAAACAAAACTGCTATATTTCTCCCTCTCCCTTAAAATGAGCATACATAAGCTTTTCAATCTTTCTGTCATTATGTAATGCACATTGCACATCTCTAAAAAACATCAAAAATGAATAGTGATTTGTATCATGACACACTCAATGGGAAGATTAAATTCTACTTGGAAGTCACATCACTACACAGTCTAGTAGTATGGAGAATACAACTAGAAGTGTGTTTAATGTGGAGAATAGAAGCTTACAGTATTACAGTATTTTTTAATCTGCTTACAACGCATTAAGACCCAATGAAATAAATGATTTGCTATTAGCTGCTGAAATTTTTCTTATTTGAGATTTACACTCATTTTCTTACATAAATATACCACTAGCCTTTGCTTGATAGGCTGCCAAAACAAATGTATCCTATTGATTTGGCAAATGTGTCATGACAAAAATTCCAGGTGTAATCCTCAATAATTACATAGATGGTTCAGAAGATTTTGAATTGTAGCCTTATTATCTATCTAACATCCTTAAAGATTTATTAAGCACACTTAAGTGATGTTACATAAATACACATTTCAGAAAAAAACCCTAATAACCACCGCTTTTCCCCAAATGAGGCCATTAAGTCAGGCACCAACAGATAGCAGAAAGAAAAACAGGAATTAATAATCCAACATAAAATGACACTGTCAATTTATTCAGCTTAGTGCCCTAGTTCAATTATTCAATTTCTGCCTTCTTAGGCCTGGTGTGACCAATGCCAGCCCAGGTTTTTAAACCCTATGGTACTTCTAGACAACGTATGTAAATTTACAGTATACAATTTGGATTCACCATGCATGAATACTTTGTGTGTAACATTTAATAAGCTCAATCTACATCCAGAATAATTTACATGAAAGGACAATATTTATTTAAACAGAGCTCAATAGGGTAACCATGGTATCATCAGAGTGCATCCAGAGGAAAATCAGGAGGAGGGGCCAAAAGAGACTCAATCAGCGGCACTCCCACACCTTTACTGTTTGATCTACACTGCCAGTAACCACATATGGTGCCGTCTTATGGAAATCTGAAAGAAAAAGAAAAGGCTTTTGTAAAATCAGGTTGAAACAGATAAAATTTTTAATAAGCCACAACACACGCAAGTCCAAGGGCCAGGAATATCCTACTTTTTTCTATACACACCCACACACCCACCCTTGGAAGGTATCAACTAGATTAGGGAAACTAAGACGTCATGATTAAAACCTGTTATTACCAACTCAAAAAAAATACCCAAATCTACCTCCACTACCACCATCCCAAATGAAGCTGAATAAACACTCAAGTCTACAAGGATAACCTATGTATCCATTTACTGAACATATACTATGTTCCAAGCTAAATACTAATGGTTTATATTCAATTCATGTTAAATCCTTGTAACCATCTTATGACATGGATTCCCCCTATTCTGCTGAGGCTTTGCCTTCACCATTAGATCCATCATACTCTAATGTATTATATTTTACTGTATTCACTTTCTTCACTTCTAGAATCTGGTCCAGATGATAGTAAAGATGCTTATTAGCCCAGCCAGCGTGGCTCAGTGGGTGAGCGTCGACCTATGAAACAGGAGGTCACAGTTGGAGATTGCTGGTTAGGGCACATGCCTGGGTTGCAGGCGCGATCCCCAGTGGGGGCTTGCAGAAGGCAGCCAATTAATGATTCTCATCACTGATGTTTCCATCTCTATCTCCCTCTCCCTACCTCTCTGAAATCAACAACACACACACACACTCTCTCTCTCTCTCTCTCTAGAGGCCCAGTGCACGAAATTCGAACATGGGTAGGGTCCCTAGTGGCTGGTGGCTGGGGCCTCCCTTCCCCTGTGCCAGCCGTCAGTGCACATCATAGCAAGCGATCGAACTCCCAGTTGGTAGAACTCCCGAGGAGACACTTTGCATATTAGGCTTTTTTTTTTTAATGTATTTTACTGATTTTCTACAGAGAGGAAGGGAGAGAGACAGAGAGTTAGAAACATCGATGAGAGAGAAACATCGGTCAGCTGCCTCCTGCACATCTCCTACTGGGGATGTGCCCGCAACCCAGGTACATGCCCTTGACCGGAATCGAACCTGGGACTTTTCAGTCCTCAGGTTGACTCTCTATCAACTGAGCCAAACCGGTTTCGGCAAGGCTTTTATATATATAGATATTTTAAAAGATGCTTATTAAACTTAAATAGCATTCCCTGAGCTTCTAGTACATGATAACTTATAACTGCCAGAAGAAAAGGGCTGAGTAATATTTCCTTTGAGAAATTTAAAACTAGTAGGAGAGAAAAATTACCTATTAGAGTCATCAGTAAGCATCCTCTTCACAATTCTAGTTTCCAGAACCAAAATTGTGCAACAGAGAAAGTAATTTTTGTATTATAAGGTTGACAATGGCGAGAGAGAATTAAGGAAAGGAGAATTTAAAACAAATGACAGGAATTCACTAAGTTTTTAATCTATTCTGACCTAAAAGCCATCCATGGTCATTTCTTACCTGGAAAAGTCCACATGGTTATTACATAAAACTTGTTATACCTGGCACTCCAAAATCTATCTGCTCAAAAAACCTCATAACTCATACATACCCAAGGAGGTAACAAAGTGTTCATGCGCATTGAGGGTCTTCATGCATCGTTTGTTCTTATAATCCCATACACGTAGGGTTTTGTCATCAGCACAACTCAAAATAAACTTGCCCCCAGAATGGAACAGAACTCCACGTACCCAGTTATCATGACCCACCTTAAACACAAAAAGGTATTTGACTTAGTGAAGGGATAAATTACTTAAATAGCATCTATGAAAATACTAAGTCATATCTATGAAAATACTAAGTTGTAACTCAAAGCCCACTTAAACTACATGCACACACACATTAAAAAAAGCCAAAAACAAACAGAAAAAAAAAAAAAAGTCTAGGGAATTCTTCTAGATTAAAAAAACAAGTGGAAACTAACAAGTAAATGCAATGAGTGATGCTTGACTGACTCCTAGAGGCAAAACAAAGTTATAAAGAACACTACTGGGATAATTGGAGAAATTATTAGTACATTAATGGTAAATTTGAGTGTGATAATTGTATTGTGGTTAATGGTAGAATACCCTTGTTCTTAGGAGACACATGTTGTCATGTCTACAAGTCAAGTAACTCAAATTGTTCAAAAAATGAAGGTAAACACACACATACAGAGAAAAAATGTTAAAAACTGGTGACTGTAGGTGAAGGGTATACAGTCACCCGTATATCTATTCACCCATCCACCTAATTCCCGTCGCAGCATTTCCATTTCTTTCAATTTAGCCTAAGAAATAATTAAAACCAGGCCCAGAGATTTAGTTAACAAAGATGTTCATCAAAACACTGCATGTAATTAACGTATAGTGTATCTAATGACATGAGCAAGTGTCATATACCTTCTAAATTAAGTTTGCTACAAAACAGAAACAAAGTCTGCTGCAAAGCAGTATGTACAAGCATAACATTTTAATTTAAAAAACACCACCAAATTCATCTACAGAATAATGTAAGAAAATATCACATGGGGCTATTTAAATATAAACCAAAATTAAATCAATTAATTCACTTCTTCAGTCTCACTAGCCACGTTTCATTAGCTCATTAGCTGCATGAGGCTAGTATAGTTACACTATTGGACAGTGCAGATAAAAAAGACAACCAAGATGACACTACTAGAGGAAAGTTTAAATTTCTAATTAATTCTTGATGATACTTCCATGTGTTTATCATAAACTTCAAAGTATAGTTAGCACCTAAGGAATCTCTAAAACTAACACAGCTATTTTTATCAAATTACAAAAACTGCTTCTTGGATTAATGTCCACAGATCCTCTTGGAAATCTCTTAGGCAAACAGGAATGTCCACAATCCTGTACTATCATATATATATATCCCCTCATACTGAAATCTAGGTTTCAATGGGAGAAAAAAGGGGACATATGTAATACTTTCAACAAGAATTACTAAAAAAAAAAAAAAAAAAAAAAAAAGTGAGCCATAAAAAACAACAAAAAACTTAAAAATAGAAAAGGAAAGAAAACAAAGAAGTAGTGAGGTTATTCAAACTTACAAGGGTCATAAGGCACATGCCAGTACTGACATCCCACATCTTAATAGTCTTGTCTCTGGATCCAGACAGCAAGAATGGCCCAGGCTTGCCACTTTTTTTAGTCTATATAAAACATAAAAATTAAGTTTCCCATGCAAGAAGTTACATAAGGACTTTAAATGACTTTTATCTATTCATGATCTATATTTCTAATTTTATAAAAATGATTTTTTAACAAATAAAAATTGGTAAGAAGACTTAAGAACTACCTCCTTAACAAATTTCCAGTATGCTGTACAGTACATTTCCAGGACTTATTCATCTTGTTTTACTGTATCAAAATGGACAAGTTTTGTCCTGGCTGGTGTAACTCAGTTGGATGGAGCATCATCCTGTGCACCGAAAAGTTGCTAGTTCGACCCCCCACGGGAGGCAATCGAAGGATGTTTCTCTCATACATTAATGTATGTTTCTCTTTCTCTCTCTCTCCCTCTCTCTCTCTCTCCTCTAAAATCAGTAAAACATACCCTCAGGTGAGGATTAAAAAAAAAACACCAAAAAAAGCACACCTTTTAACCTACAGAGGCTACAAGGAAGGACCCAGATAATATAAATATTGATGTTTCTCTCTCTTCCTTCCTCTTCTCTCTCAAACCAATAAAAATTTAAAAATGTAGTTTCTACAATATCAAGATGATAAACTTAATGTTCAAGACATCTGTAATCAAGAAGGATCTTACAACTATACAATTTAGCATTTATATCTAAAGTCCAGATAGAATCAAATTAATGACATATTGTATGTAACTACCACCAGAGGGCAGTAAAAAGAATTCGAAATGCAACCAGCCAGCCAAAACAGAGATTACAATAGAAGCTCCATTTAGAAATACAATGGAGAAAGGGTGGGGGAGAGGAAAGATTCTCCTCCTTCACTTGTTTGTTTGTTTGTTTTTAATGTATTTTATTGATTTTTTTACAGAGAGGGAGGGAGAGGGATAGTTAGAAACATCGATGAGAGAGAATCATTGATCAGCTGCCTCCTGCACACCCCGCACTGGGGATGTACCCCGCAACCAAGGTACATGGCCTTGACCGGAATCGAACCTGGACCCTTCAGTCCGCAGGCCGATGCTCTATCCACTGAGCCAAACTGGTCTGGGCCCTTCACTTGCTAAAATGTAATTTTTAAAAATCCACAGCAGTGCCCTGGTTGGTGTGGCTTAACTGGTTGAGCATCGTCCTGTGCGCCCACCAAAAAAGATTGCCAGTTCATTACCTGGCCAGGGCACATACCCAGTTTGCAGGCTATCTGGGTCGAGGTGCTTTTGGAAGGCAACTGATTGATGTTTGTCTCACATTGATCTCTCCCTCTAAGGAAAAAATCTGTAATAGAAAAGTCTGATCAAGGGTATCAGAGACCTCCATATGAAATATTCTTCATTTAAACAAATACTTTTTAAAAATATATTTTTATTGATTTCAAAGAGAAAGGGAGAGGGAGTGAGAAATATTAAACTGCATTCCATCAAAAATAATTATGTCCATTAAAAAAGGTGATTTTTCTAAAAGATAACTTTAACCTCTCCATAAGTTTTATTCTGCACTGGTATACTCTTAAAACAATGGCATTTCTAATAATCTGAATAACCACTTTCCCTCTTTAGGAGAACCCCTACCCCCATTAGACAACACAGGTCAGCTGACAGCATTAATACAAACTGGCTTAAAAATATAAACACGCCCGGCCACCCTGGCTCAGTGGTGGTCATGGTTCGATTCCTGGTCAGGGCACATGTCTGGATTGTAGGCTCAATCCCTAATAGGGGGCATGCAGGAGGCAGCCAATCGATGACTCTCGTCAGTGATGTTTCTCTCTCTCTCCCTGTCCTTTCCTCTCTGAAATTAATAAAAATATATATTTTAAAAAAATTATATCCTACATAATAAAGATGTAATATGCAAATGGTCGTTACACTGTGAAGTGTAATGACCGACTGCGTAATGACCAGATCACGAATCAGCAGGAGGGGGCAGTGAGCTACAAGCAGGCGGCAGAGAGCTACAGGAGGTGGCAGGGCAGCAAGCTATGGGGGGGTGGGGGGGTGGGGGGGGTGGAAGGTACAGGAGGGCGGGGCAGCAGGCAGAGAGCTACTGGAGGACAGCAGCGAGCTATTGGCAAGCTACTGGTGCACAGATTTGTGCACAGGGCTGTGTGTGTGTGTGTGTGTGTGTGTGTGTGTGTGTGTGTATAAAAACACCTGCAAGTTGAAAAGAGTAAAAAATGATAAGATTCATAATTCTGGAATACAGATTTTTAAATGCATTAATGGCTCTAAAATTGAGCATCAGAAAAGTTACCTAAGTTTCTGAGCTATCAGCAATAAAATAAAATCATGAAATGACACATAAACCATAGTTACCTCAGATCCTGTTGCTTCAGAGATGGAAGAATATGAGCTTTCTGGAGCCCAGGAAATGCATTCTACCACATGCTCATGTTCTCGAAGCTCAGCCTTGCATTCCTTTGTTGCTACGACCCATACTCGCACAGTCTGGTCATTGGAACAGCTGGCTATCAGAGTGCCATCCTGATTTGGCCGCACCATACGTACCCACTCTCTATGTCCTGTGAATGTCTTCACACAGTAGCTGTCAAAATAAGTAATAATTTATGTTGTGAATGGTAATCCATTGGGACACTTCCCAGAAGCAATGCAAAACTTACAATGTATACTGGAATGAAGAGAATGACAACAAGTTAGTGAAATCGTATGCAAGTCAACAGAATAAATGTACATTCCTGGTTAATAAAAGATGGGGACAGGCTGGAAAGTCAAACATCAGTTAAAATAAGCTTATGGGAGAATCATTAAGGAGCTAACCAAATCAACAAAATCTAAAAAGTAAAATATAGAGAGGAAATCTTTTCAAAATTAAACACACACAATAAACCTAACAAAAATATTTCTAGCCATGTTGGGGGAAAAGCATGCTCTACTAATCTGGGTAAAACCAGTAGGTTAAGGTTCTATTTTAACAATCATGTAATTCTAAGCACAACCAAATTAAACCTAATAGGGGCATACCTGTACAAATGTTATCTACATTTTATTTCAACCCACAGAGAGATAACCTAAAAGAAGACCACAGAGAAAATAAGCCATTACAGAGAAGATGGCTTTGAAGGACATAGATTTTCTTTTATAATTTCTCTGTTTTTTGGGGGAAGATACATTTAGATTTCAAAACTTAGTTTTAAAGTACATAATAAAATTACCATGATGACCATTATGGGTAAAAGCTAAAATTATTGGAACATTCAGAATACAATTTTGTCTAATATCTCTTTACCAGATATTTAACTAAATCTACTTACCCAGTTTGCACTTCCCACATTTTTATAGTTTTATCTCTTGAAGCAGACACTATATGATCTCCGTTGGGCATGATGGCTACTGAAGAAACATTGTGGTCATGGCCTAAAACACATAACACAGCAACATTATTAAATAATATGCCACCAAGAGCAATTAAACCTGTTTACCACAAGATTTCACCATGGGATTTTAAATAACACAGCAACTTTATTTTATTTTTTTTTAAATATATTTTATTGATTTTTTTACAGAGAGGAAGGGAGAGAGATAGAGAGAGTTAGAACATCGATGAGAGAGAAACATCGATCAGCTGCCTCCTGCACATCTCCTACTGGGGATATGCCCGCAACCCAGGTACATGCCCTTGACCGGAATCGAACCTGGGACCTTTCAGTCCACAGGCCGACGCTCTATCCACTGAGCCAAACTGGTTTTGGCAACACAGCAACTTTAAATACACTGGGCTTTATTATAAATTTGATTAAAAACTTGGATTTACACAAAAAAGGAACTAGTACCAATAAAATAATCCACAATAAATAGTCAACTCAATTTATAAATAAATTTCAAACTGTACAACTGTTTTAAAACCATAAGGTGTCAGTATCATCAGTATCTGAATATGTAAGTGTGGGGCAAAAGAAGGTTTATAGCTGTGAGTATGCAAAACAGTTTATTCTTGTATTATTCTTTATTAATATTGTATTATATCTTTTTATTGTTGTTATTTCATTTCCTTACTTATGATTTATCTTTTAAGTAATGATGGCTGGTAATTTAATTTACTTTTAATACACTGAATGTTTATGTATGAACACTAGGAAAACACACAAATATTTCCACTGTTCATATTCTATGACATAAAATAGAAATAAAGCTAAAAAGACTAGGTAAGAAAAATGGGGATATGATTCTATATTTAAAATAGTGGTTGCCGAAACCGGTTTGGCTCAGTGGATAGAGCGTCGGCCTGCGGACTGAGGGGTCCCAGGTTCGATTCCGGTCAAGGGCATGTACCTGGGTTGCGGGCACATCCCCAGTGGGAGATGTGCAGGAGGCGGCTGATCGATGTTTCTCTCCCATCGATGTTTCTAACTCTCTATCTCTCTCTCCCTTCCGCTCTGTAAAAAATCAATAAAATATATTTAAAAAAAAATAAATTAATTAAAAAAAAAATAAAATAAATAAAATAGTGGTTGAAATTATCTTTTGTTGATATTCATGGTGGTAAAAAATGCATTATTCCATATACATTATTCACAATCCTAACTAATCAGTTATCCTTGAAGGAAAGAGCCCCAGGGAGTCCGCAGATTTTATGAAAGGATTCAACAGAATTCCTCTACTTGGTAAGCCTTGAATGCATTTAATTAGGGAAGAAAACACACTCTTCAAATTACACTCTCTATGTAATCATGTAGCTTACTCAAGAGCCAGCATTTCTGAATAATATGTTTAGAAAAATATTTTATTACTAACACAGTATGTATTCCTTATATAAAATCTAAACATTTAAATTTCATCATGTTTAAAGAAACAAGTCTGGTTGGTGTCGCTTAGTGTTTGAGTTTCAATTCACGGACTAAGAGGTCACTGGTTCGATTCCTGGTCAGGGAACATGCCTGGGTTGTGGGCTCAAGATCCCCAGAGGGGCGTGCAGCAGGCAGCCGATTAGTGTTTCTATCTCTCTATCCCTCTCCCTTCCTCCCTTTCTAAAATCAATAAAACATATTTTAAACTAAACAATAAATAATAATAAAAAAAACCACAAAAAAACAAAAACCCTTATTTACTGAGCACCTTCTATGTGCCAGGTATTAAACCAAGATAATCAAGTACAGAAAACCTGTTTTACTGTGCTTTACTACACTGTGCTTCACAGATACTGCGTTTTCATCAACATCCAAGAAAGACCCTTCACCAGCAAAAGAAATAAATCAATCACAATGCACTAAAAGCTCAGATTGATGAGCAGCGCTTTCTAGCAATACGTTTTTTAAAATTAAGGTATGTACACTGAGTTTTTAAAAATACAGAATACTACTATACACTTGATAGAACTGTGTAGTATAAATACAACTTCTACTATATGTCCTGAAACCAAAATATTCATGACTCACTATATTGTGATATTTGCTTTATTGTGGTGGTCTGGAATTAAACCCACAGTATCTCCAAGGTATGCCTATGTGGTCTCATTTTATCCTCACGACAAGCCTATACAGTGGGGCCTTGACTTAAGAGTTTAATTCGTTCCGTGATGGAGCTCGTAACTCAAATTACTCGTATGTCAAATCAAAAAGTGAACGAGTCAGACACGTGATGCTGGGCTGATGTTGTGGCGTTCACTGTGATGTTCGCTGCGCCAACTAGCGGTGGGGTATCTGAAGCTGGCTCGTAACCCGAATTTTAGCTCGCAACTCAAAGCAAAAAATCGGCCGAGAGACGGCTCGTATCTGGCTCGTATCTCGAAAAACTCTTTAGTCGGGACACTCGTAAGTCAAGGCCCCACTGTAATTGAGGTATTATTACCTCTATCTTGCAGATGAAAGAGGTTAAAACTTCCTAATGCCATAAGTAAACAAGTAGGCAATTTAAACCCAGATATATCTAATTCCAAAGCTCTTTCCACAAAGCTAAACTGACTCAGAGAACAGTCTCCATGACAAAACCCAGACAACAACCTAACAATAAGACTATAGTATTAAAAAGTGAGCAAGGGAATCTGGATTCCAGCTTTTACTATACCCACTCTCTCTCAACTTCAGTTTCCCAATTGAGAAAAATGATTAAAAAAAAAAAAAAAGACAAAAACATCCTACTAACAACTTCATTTTCTCAAAAACAGATAGATGTCCTGCAGTTTTTCTTATTAAAAAATATTTGTGGCCCTAGCTGGTTTGGCTCAGTGGATGGAGCGTCGGCCTGCGGACTAAAGGGTCCCAGGTTTGATTCTGGTCAAGAGCATGTACCTTGGTTGCGGGCACATCCCCAGTGTTTCTAGCTCTCTATCCCTCTCCCTTTCTCTCTGTAAAAAATCAGTAAAATATATTAAAAAAAATATTTGTGAAAACAATTTTCATATTTTATATGAAATACTTATTTCAATAAGAGATACTTAAAGCATCATAACAAAAACAACTCTCAACTATGGCTTATCCATGGACTATCTACATCATATAGTCCTTCAACAACACAGACAACTAAGAATTGAATGAAGGGAACCTGCACACGGTTAGAAAACAATATTCTTGCCTTAACTGGTTTGGCTCAGTGGATAGAGCGTCGGCCTGCGGACTCAAGGGTCCCGGGTTCGATTTCGGTCAAGGGCATATACCTTGGTTGCTGGCCACATCCCCAGTAGGGGGTGTGAAGGAGGCAGCTGATCGATGCTTCTCTCTCATTGATGTTTCTAACTCACTATCCCTCTCCCTTCCTCTCTGTAAAAAATCAATAATATATATATATATATATATATATATATATATATATATATATATATATGAATGACAATATTCTTATTTCTGGAATGCCATGTGAGAAATCAGTATCAAATACCACCCTCTATTCCTTACCGTGCATGGTTCTGATGCATTCAAAGCCCTGAAAATCCCATAGTTTAATGGTCATATCTGCAGAACAGGAAGCCAGAAGCTTGCCACTGTGGTCAAATGAAATATCCTGTACAGAGTCTGTATGCCCCTTAAGAGTTCGTTCAAAATCTCCAGTCTCATAATCCCACACCTGTCACATGAACAAAAAACTGGTTAATATCAACCCATCACTTTGTTTCACATTTGCACTCAGCAGGCTAGTCTGGCACCTTACTAATTAACTGAGAAAGTGACAAAGGGTCACTGTCTTAGAAATTAGCACATCTTCATTATAAATTGGTCTTTCCTCTAAGAGAGAAAATTGATGGTGCAATTTTTAAAATGGACCTCTAGTACCACATTATCTACCATGCACCTAATTATGCTAGTGATTAAGTATATAAAGCCACAAGACAAAGTCCCTTCCCAATCTGACAGTAGACAACAGATATGTTAATAAGTAAATTTTAGTACAAAGAGTTTCAGGGGGCTATGATAGGCATTTATATGTAGAATGAAAGTAACAATGAAGGAGTACTCAATTGTACTAGATAAGTGGAATTCAGATATCTAAGAGGCCAAGAAAAGACTTCACATGACGTAACTGTCCATGAAAAGCAGATTAACAAAAGAATGTCATTCTGATGTAAAAAAGCCAAAGTCACATATTTTAAAGATAACTTTTCTAAGATAAAGAAATAATGAGCTATCAAGAATAAATATTAGAAACGCATCTCAAGAAAATACTGAACTTTCATTCTGGTGGCCAAATGCAAGTGTGAAGTTAATCTTTCACCAATACCAATTATACTGCTCTAAAGTCAAATGATTAATTCCATTTTTCCCATAATAATTTCAAATTTATCTGTGGTAGGGTATATACCAACCAATTTAGACAAATGTAGAATGGCTAAGATATAAAATTTGCAACTATAATGAATTTATGACATGCATCCAATGTTACGTAAAAAAAAAAATTTACACATTATATAAAAAAGAACCTAAGAAAAACTATCTTTGAAAAATATTTAACAGAAAGCTTCTGTACCCTTCCCAATATAAACAAATTTTTTCCATGTAAATGTTTAAGTACTCCTACATGTGTTTAATTTTGTGTAACTTTGTTAGACTTATCCTTAATTGTGGTTTCTTTTTTTTTCTTTTCTTTTTTTTTTTTTTTTTGCAAAAGCAGAAGGTCCTTTATTGAGTTAGCTAACCCGACCCGGGCCTCCAGTCGACACAGCGACCGGAAACCGAGTCAATTGTGGTTTCTTGATGATACTATAAGTTGCATTTTTAAATTTCAAATTTCAATTATTTATTGCTAGTTTATAGTAATGCAATTACATTTTGTATATCGACTGTGTATTCTGTTAGTCTGTTAAATTCAGTCATAGTTCTAGTGGCTTTTTTGTACGCTCTTTGGAATTTTCTACATAGATCATGTCTGCAAATGAAGTGTTTCATTTCTTTCTTTCAAATCTGTATGCCTTTTATTTCTTCTTCTTCCTTACTGCACTGGCTAGGCACTCCAGTATAAAAGTCTATACAACTGGTTGAGACTGGACATCCTGCCTGGCCTTGGTTTCTGATCTCAGAGGAAAGCATTCAGTTTCCACCAGTAAGTATTAGGACCACTGTAGGTTTTATCAGATACCTTTACCTTTTATCAGGTTACCTCTCCTTCTAGCTTGCTCAGTTTTTCTCATGAATGGATATTGGAATTTTTCAAATGCTTTTTCTGAATCTATTTTTTTAAATGTTTTCACTGATTTTCAGAGAGAGGAAGAGAGAGAAACATCAGTGAGAGAGGTATTTGTTCGGCTGCCTCCTGCCCCCTACTGAGAATCGAACCTGTGACCTCCTCCTGGTGCACAGGAGGAAGCTCAACCGAGTGACACCAGGTGGGCTATTGTTGTTGTTGTTGTATCACATTGATTCATTTTCAAATGTGGAACCATTTCTTGCATACTGGGTGCACCTACTTGGTGATAATTATCCTTTCAATGAATTGCTGGATTCAATTTGTTTATAATATGTAAGGGAGTTTACATCTGTGTTCATACATATTGGTCTATAGTTTGTTTTTTGTAATACCTTGGTCTTATTTTGTTATCTAAGTGTTTAATTTTGACACCAAGAGTTCAGAGGAACACAAGGTGTGATCTTTTTTTTTTTCTTTTTTTAGAGAGAGTGGGAGGGGGAGAAACAGAGACAGAAACAATTGATGTGAGAGGGACACATCAATTGGTTGCCTCTTGCATGCACTCCAACCAGAGCTGGGGATTGAGCCTGCAACTGAGGTATGTGCCCTTGACTGGAATCAAACCTGCGACCCTTCAGTCCATGGGCCGATACTCTATCCACTGAGCCAAACCAGCTAGAGCAAGGTGTGATCTTGAAGTTCATTCCAATTTCAGTTAATTTTCTTTCCATGTATTCATTAAATAACACTAAAACATTTTCTCTAAAATAAATATAGCCAGAAAACAAACTCTGTGTTTCTTCATAAATGGTGAGTAAACGGCATTTTAGTTAGTTTATAAATGTCAACAATAAGAATTAAGTTTACTTTATATTTACCTTTTGTATGATCTATAATAATAAAAGCATAATATGCTAATTAGACCAGACAAACTTCCAGACGAAGTCGGGGCTGCGAGGGAAACCCGAGTCCCGGGTCCAGAGGGAAGCTGGTGCCGAGAGCTGGGGGAAGGAAGGCCTACACTTGCACGAATTTCGTGCATTGGGCCTCTAGTTATAAAATAATGCTCACGATAAAAACCAAATTATAATGTACTTGAAATAAAAGGAATTTAAAAAATCCCTTATCCTAACAATGGCATGGTTTTTTCCCCATTTTTTTCTATGCCCTTTAAGTATAGTGACTATGTATACTTCATTACTCAATTTTTCCCTTTACTTCTTATGAGTTTTTCCATGTTGTTAAAAACTTATAGCATTCTTGCCCTGGCTGGGTAGCTCAGTTGGTTAGAGCATCATCCCAATATGACATTTATGGGTTCAATCTCCAGTCAGAGCACATACAAGAAGCAACCAATGAATAAATAAATAAGTGGAAAAACAAACTGATGTTTCTCTCTCGTTCTCTCTTTTTCTAAAACAGAAAACAGCATTCTTAAAACAATAACAAAAAACCTTAGCATTCTTTAAAAAAAAAATTCCTATGGTTGGCTAAAATTTTTTTTTCTTATAGGAAACATGTTAAGTGAAAATCTTTGAATATTGAAAAATATCTGTCCTCATTTTGCAATACTTAGGTCGCACAATAATGGGAAAAAGAAAATTGGGTCAAAAAGTATAAACTTTCTAAGCTCTTCATATAGTCTGGTAAATTGTTTTCCCATTAGATTATATCAAAATACTGAGAATGCCTGCTTCATCAAATTCTTACAACCACTGGGAATTCTCATTTTAAAAAGCAAAATAGCTTGACAGATTTTATACATATTATAATTTTAATTTGCATTTCTTCTATTAGTACTGAGGCCAAATTAGCTATTTTTCTTCCTCTATGAATTACCTCTTTATGTCCTACAGTCCATTTTTAGAGACATTTCTGTTTTTCATATTGGTTGAACTGTTTATATATTAAAGTTGGCAATCCTTAATCTGCTTTATTAGTTTAATGTATTTTGTTGTGTTGCTGTTCATGTTTTAAAATTAGTTCTAAATGACAACCAGAAATATTTCAAAAATTTAAATGGTGCAATTAAAAATATTGTTATGAAGCCCCTGGCTGGGTGGCTCAGTTGGCTGGAGCATCTTCCTGTGCACCAAAAAAAGTTGTAGGTTTGATTTCCAGTCAGTGCACATACCTAGATTGAAGGTTCAATCCCTAGTCAGGGTGTGTACGGAAGGCAACTGATCCATGTTTCTCACGTAGATCTCTCTCTCTCTCCCCCCACCTTCCTCTCTCTCTAAAATCAATAAACATATCCTGAGGTGAGAATTAAAATTAATTAATTTAAAACAAAAATACTAAAATAAACTATTCCAAATATCTATCCTCTATCAGTTTTTCTAAATTATTATAGTTCAACTGTTGATAATGTAAATGAGTGGTTCTAAAAGGAAATTCCTAAAAATAAATGAACACAACCTTGCTGTATTTACCAGATACACAAGAGAAATTAATATAATTTTAATTTTGTTATTGATAACTGTAACATTAGCTACAGCTTTTTGAGCCCTTACCATCTATCTATTTAAGTTTGCCAGGCACTATACTACATACATTATGTATATATTATTTTATTTTAAGCATAGAATCTTATGACATATTTTTAATCCCCCCTCCCAACAAACGAGATAACTGAGCCTTAAACATAATCCCTTTGCCCAGCATAGTCACAAGAATGGTTGCCTCTTGCATGCGCTCTATGTGCTCTTTGTGTTTTCCTTTTGAGTTTTTTGGAAAGTAGTTCTATCACAACCAGCACACTTAGAAATCACCTAACTTTAACACAACTGAAGAAAGAAAATATATAGAAGAGTAAATTTTTTGTTTTCATTCTACAAATTATCAAAGGAAGTAATTTGAGAAAAAAGCTTTATGTATAAAAATAAACAGAACATTATTTATGACAGTAGACTAAAAATAACTTAAAATCCAAAGAAGATCTGTTAATGTTGCTGAACAGTGCTGACACAAAGTATTTCTTTAGTATCTGACCAGCACTGTGGCAAGCAGTTTCTCTGTAATAACGCATTTAATCCTCCCTAAAGCCCTGAGATAGTTATTATCTTCACTTCACAGATGAGAAAAGGTAAGCACAAAAAGTTTATTTGCCCATGATCACGTTAATTATTAAATGGCTGGGTCAGTACTTGAACCTACAACCTGGGCTCTGGACCATTAACTACCCTATAATGCCTCCATATACAAATAAAACAATCAGTTTTAAATCATTAAAAATCATCATTCATTAGAAACAAAGGTGTTTCTAAAATGTTTAATCAAAAAAGGAAATAAAACTAAACACAAATGCTTGTTATTAATGAAATAAACATTTGTGCACATTAAATAAAGACTAAATGGAAGAGAAGTTAAGTAGTTGCTGAGATATATAGTTTGATTACAAATATAAATTTAAAAACTTCTATTTATAGTATTTTGTTCATGGAGTAAATGATGTTTGTTGGTTCTCCATTTTCTTTTTTATTGATTTCAGAGAAGAAGGGAGGGAGAGAGAGATAGAAATATCAATGATGAGAGAATCATCAGCTGCCTCCTGCTTGCCCCTAACTGGGAATTGAGCCCGCAACCCAGGCATGTGCCCTGATGGGGAATTGAACAGTGATCTCCTAGTTCTTAAGTTGATGCTCAACCACACCAACCAGGCAGGTTCTCCATTTTTATAATCAAAGCATAGAAAACTTATTCACAGTTATAAAACAGATATAAATGACATAAACCTTGGCAATCTAAAAATAACAGGACTTATATAAAATTATCTGGTAAGTAAAGGGAAACAAATAAGTATGTACCATTTGTAATATTTTCAAGTTGACTCCACAGATATATTTTAAGATAGCATATTTACAGTTTTGTTTATGCTTTTCAACTACCACTGCAAAATTAATAGTAAATACTGAACACTGGTTGGGTTTTCCAATGGTTAGAGCATCACCTTGAGGACCAAGGGGTCCAGATTCGATTCCTGGTCAAGGGCATGTACCTGGGTTGCAGGCCTGATCCTGGGTCAGGGCTTGTGCAGGAAGCAACCAATCAATGTCTCTCTCTCACATCGATGTTGCTTTCTCTCCCGCACCCCTCCTTTCTACTCTCAAAAAAATCAATGGAAAAAATATCCTGGGGTGAGGATCAACAACAATTACAACAACAAAAAAGACTGGATTCAATCTATTAAAAAAGGTTTACTTTTACCCCTATGCCTCATGATAGCAGTGCAGTTTTTTAGTACACATAAGGGAGACTATCATTAAGTCAATCATTTACATACATCTGAAAAATAGCAATATATTAAGGTTTTAGGTATGTAATCATCTCAGCCTACAGAAGTACATGATGCACATGTGAATTTAAGACTCTCTTCCAATGACTCTGCAGCCTGCCCCATGGATGGCCAGCCTAAAGGATAAAAGGAAGCCACTGATTTAGAAACTAAAGAAATCACATAAGAAAAACATAAAATAATGCTTAATATGAAGAACAAGTTAAGTATAAGTCACAGTTAACTGTTTCTTGCATTTTATGTTAGACTGCGGCCGTGTGATATATACACTCTTAAACCACATTCTCCTAAACCTCTCCAAATGAAACTTAAACTGGAATAAGCCTTAAAACAGAGAAACCTACCTAAACCTTTTAACTGTATTTTACTTGTCTTTTTGCAGGTGGTTTATACAACTGCCATTGTCTGGATTAAAGGGAATTACAAAAACAATCTTTTCTCTGATTAAAAGATAAAATATTAAAATGTATTATGATTATTGTGTGTGGGGGGGGAATGAAAGAAATACATAACTTATAAAGTGATAAGCACCTACATTCCTACATCCATGGAGAGAAATACTATTTAGTTTGGAATCAAAGCCAATATTAAACATATCAGGAAGAGTCTAATTTAAATAAATTCTCTATTGAATTTTTTTTTTTTTTTTTGCAGAACATATTCATCTGCTGAATTACTAGTGTTGTAATCCTGTATTTTCATCTATTACCTCTGCTTAAAAGTAAGGTACACACTTTCCCTCTTTCTAGGTCCTCATTTTCAGGATGTTTTTATTTCTTTCACCCAATTAAATTTAAATCTGATTTTAACAATTACCCTATTGCAAATCTTTCATTTTTAAAAATTACCTTAATTGTAGCATCCTCTGAAGCAGAGACCATAACACTGAACACAGGGTGGAAAATGACTCGAGTGACTGGACTCCTATGACCACTCAATGCATATTTTTCTGGTGGACGGGGAATCCACTCTTTTGGGTCTCGTTTCTGACCAAGAGGTCCACCTGACGTAAATTCTTCTTTTGCTTCATTTAGTTTTGATTCTAATTCCATAACCTTGAAAATAAACACATATTTATATATACAGATAGACTCCAATTTTATTTGATGTTTTAAAAAACTGCTTTTATTTTGTGTCTATATATGCAGAATACTTTAAAATTTTTCATTAATTTACAAAGAATTCATCATTTATTAAAAATTATCTTCATTATCTACCATCAAAATTTTAGTGATATAAAAACCAAAAATTAAGAAAAATTCAGTATAACTTTGTCTTAACTACTTAACTCAAAAATTTCAATTTATATCTACTATTTAGAGGAAGAGCAGTGCACCTGTGTTGGTCTCTCTATGTCTGTTACTCTTAGTAAACTCTTCCCAAACCAAGTTTACATTATACATGCTAGTAATATTTATAATAAAAGCCAACATTTATTTAATATCTATGTTTTCGATACTTTTCTAAGAGATTTTGATGCATTAATTCATTTTACAACAATTTATTCATTCATTCTAACTTTGCCTACTAAAAATATAAATTTTAGGACCAGGATATTATTTATTGCCTTCACTTTACACATAAAAATAAAAGCTCAAAGCGTAACCAATGGACACAGATAGTAGGAGGGCAAGGGCATGTGCTGGGTGGGCGGGGGGGGGGGGGGGGGGGGTGGGGGGGGGGCGGGCGGCAGGGGAGAGGTCAATGGGGGATAAAGGAGACACATGTAATACTTTAAACAATAAAGAGTTTAAATGTTAAAAAAAAAAAAAAAAAGCTCAGAGATAAAAATAACTTGTCTAAGTGTACATTTTAGTGTTCTTTTCTCAGCATCACATTGGCTCCATTAATTTTTCCCATCTAAACAAGATCAAGTTCTTAAGTATCAATTCCCTGAAGTCAGGTTTATGTAAATTCAACCCAGCCAGTACCCAGATTGCACGAGTTAGCATGAATCAGCTCTGATCTTTTTGGGTCAAAGTATTTTTTAATGCATAAAAAATATATTCCCTTTTGCCTTTTCAAGATTAAATAATTAATTTTATGTTAATATTTTCAGAAAGTTATGTTAATGTTTTCAGAAAGTTTATTTAAGAACATTCCAAATATAACCAACCAACTTTAAAGGAAAAACTTAGTTACCTTCTTTTGTAATCTAATAACAGATGTCCATTTTTTTTCCAAAAGACCAGCATATTTCTTATCTAATTCTTCATTCTAGAGGAAAAAATGAGAACCTTTTAAAAAATGGCTCAACTATGATAGTTCAAGCCATTCAGACCATTTGTCCCTGAGTCTAACTAAATATTACTAAAAATCTTACTATACTAAAAAAAGGTTGAAAACCAAGTTTAGTGCCACGTAAATAACAAATGATAAGATCTGTGGATAACTGAGGTGTCTGTTAATTGTTGATACTTCAGTAAAATCCACTTATAATTGTAAAAAGTAAAACATACCATATCTAATTCAGCTTCTTTTTTAAAAACTGAATATGCTTCTTCATAACCATTTGAACGAAGATAATCTGCTATAGCCCGATTTCTGAAAGAAAACAAATTCAAATGACTCTAAAAAACACAAGTATTTCACAAAAAAGGGACCTGCTCCACCTAAGCCTCTAAAACATTTAGCTTTGTCAAAGTACAGCTTTAATAATATATGTACTATATTATTCTTGAGCTTTTTGCTTTAAGTTTCTAATGTGTTGCTTACCTTATAAGCCGTGGGCACTCTACAGAGGTCAAGATATGGTTTATATTAATAGGTATCAATTTGTAAGAGTAATCATCAATTTTATTCATGTTTACATTTAGCCTTCCCTTACTACTTGTTATAGACATTCAAGAACTAGCAACTGACGTTTAGTTTTGCAAAAAGACTTGTTCTGATAAAATTATAATTAGTAAGTATTTTAATATCAGAGACATCTTTAAACCATTCAGAGTGGGTGTGCCCTAGCCGGTGTGGTTCAGTGGTTAGCATGTTGGCCCACACACTGAAGAGTATGGGGTTCAATTCCTAATCAAGAACACGTATCTGGGTTTCAGGGTCAATCTCCGGCCCCAGTTGGGGCACATGGGGGAGGCAACTGATCTATGTGTCTCTCACATCAATGTTTCTCTATTTCTTACTCTCCCCTCCCTTCCATTCTGTCTTAAAAAAAAAAAAAAAATCAATTAATAAAATATCCCCAGGTGAGGATTAACAAAACAAAAAAAAGAGTGGGTGAAAAAAAGAGCATAAGCTATAAACTTAGACTAAAACATCATGGACTAAAAACATTCATTTAGAAAGAAATTGAAGCTGAATTAGCAGATGCCTTTTCAAGCTCTCCTTATATTCCTTCAAAGAGAAAATCAGCTACCTCCCTCCTAAGACAACCTACTCCTCTATCAATTTTTGAGCCTTAAGTCCACTGTAATATAATAGTTGCTTGGGATTTCCTTTAAAGCAATCTAAATAATTTAAAAAACTAATCCTATATAATAAAAGGCAAATATACAAATCAACAGAACCATGGAACCACCGATGCTATGAGGCACACTGACCACCAGGGGGCATACGATCAACACAGGAGCTGTCCCCTGGTGGTCAGTGCGCTCCCACAGGGGGAGCACTGCTCAGCCAGAAGCCAGGCTCACAGCTGGCGAGCACAGTGGTGGTAGCGGGAGCCTTTCCCGCCTCTGCAGCAGTGCTAAGGATGTCCGACTGACAGCTTAGGCCAGCTCCCCGCAGGAAGTGGGCCTAAGCAGTCAGTCAGACATCCCCCAAGGGCTCCCAGACTGCACAAGAGCTGAAGGACCGCCCCCCCCCACGAGTGCATGAATTTCATGCACCAGGCCACTAGTATGTATGTATATGTGTGTGTGTGTGTGTATATATATTTAAACAAATTTTACATAAGCATTCTTTCCACCATTGACCCCCAATATTCCATCCCTGAGGGAATTACTTTACCAGTGTTTTGTGTTTCCTTTCAGAGATAACCCACCTATTAACACACATCCCTGAGTAGTCTTTTAGAGATAATCAATACTTGTTTTAAAAACAAACTGCAGTACATTACATACTAGTATGTCTTACAATGTTATATAAACTCACTTAATCTTAGCAATCATTCTTTTTTTAATCCTCACCCAAGGATATGCTTTTATTGATTTTAGAGAGAGGAAAGGAGAGAGGGGGAGAGGGAGAGAGAGAGAAACAAACATTGATGTGAGAAACACATCGATCGGATGCCTTTTGTATGCACCCTGACAAAGCCAGGGATTGACCCCCTGGCCCTTTGATGTGTGGGGTGATGCTCTAACCACTGAACATACAGGACAGGGCTCACCGACTGTTAATGGCTTGAAGATATCTCTAAAAACTGCAACCTGGGTATGTGCCATGACCAGGAATCGAACCCAAGACCCTTTGGTATGGGATGATGCTCCAACCAAAAGCCACACTGGCCAGTGTAGCAATCATTCTTTATCAAATGTAAAGCTGCCTTCTTCTATATTATACTCCACTATGGAAACATGCAGTTACTACTACAAACAATGCTGCTATGACCACACTTTATAAATGTAAATGCCATTGCCACCTAATGCTTTAGGAAATAAAAACTAGTAGTATCGTAGAATTGCTAAGTTTTAATTCAATGGCATGTTAAAAACAAAAATAAAAAAGTGTGCCCTGACCGGTTTGGCTCAGTGGATAGAGTGTCGGCCTGCGGACTCAAGGGTCCCAGGTTTGATTCCAGTCAAGGGCATGTACCTTGGTTGCGGGCACATCCCCAGTGGGGAGTGTGCAGGAGGCAGCTGATCGATGTCTCTCTCTCATGGATGTTTCTAACTCTCTATCCCTCTCCCTTCCTCTCTGTAAAAAAATCAATAACAATATTAAAAAACAAAACAAAACACAATAACTAGTGGAAGACAAGGTCAGCACATCATATTCCTGGATAAGGGAGTTGAGGAAATGTAAATTCTTACTATTATTGTGAGTCTATGCCTATGTGCTGCTCATGTCACAGCCTATGCCTTCTGGCCTACTCCACTAAGATCATTTGATTCATTAAGAAATACCTTCTTTACACAGAGCTGAGATCTACTTCTTAATTTCTACCAGGTAGTTAGGTCTACTTGGGCCTTCTAAAACAAAATAGGAATGCAAGGTTTTCTCAAAACATTCCATCAAATACTGTGTTGCCAAAACCTGTATTACAAACCTTAAACAAAAATACATTTCCTATTGGTTAGAATATTCCAAATAATAAGGGAAACAAGTGACATCTATCTCTTAGCTTTATTTTATTCATCTAAAAAACCAACAGCAAGCAATTAAGGGCAAAATGTCAAGGGTAAACAAATCTTATATGGTACTTGTAAATATTTACAAGCTCCTTAGCTCTACTCCTACCTTCAGGGTCAATCAAGCCCTAATGCCTGAAACTTTGCCTCAACACACTGCACACAGTTTACAACTCTGAAGCTCATATAACAGGTAATATGAAAATGTTACATATGCACAAATTATAGCGATTATAATCTTAATGGGCTTTAAAAAAATATTTTTTTGCCCTGATCCAGTAGCACAGTTGGTTGGAGCTTCATCCTGTAAACTTAAAGGTTTTGGGTTCGATCCCCATTTGGGCATTTGTGGAAGGTAACCAACCAATCAATGTTTCTCTCTTATATCAATGTTTCTCTCTCTCTCTTGCTCTCTTCCCGTCCTCTCTATCTAAAAATCAATAAAAGATAACCAGGTGAGGATTTAAAAAAAAAATTCTATACTTTGAAATTGCCACTGCTAACCTCTTTCAGCACCGTCTTCTCATGCCATGTTCTATGTCCATTATGTCCACATCACCATGTATGCGCATGTACAGCTTTTTAAAAAAATGCTTTTATTTATTTTAGAAAGAGAGAAACATCTATGTCTCTCTCTTTCTACCCCCATTTCCTCGCCAAAAAAAAAAAAAAAAAAAAATCCTCTGGTGGGGATTAACAACCACAATAAAAGAAGTATCCAAGCAATCTGGCTACTAAGAGATTCCTGTTGAATTTAACAAGTACATTTCTAGAACTTAAAGAAGCCTCAGTATTCCATTCCACAGTAAGGTTTCCAATGAGCACTGCAAAATATTGGAGTTGGGAAGGTGCAGCTGGGAAGTTCCAGTAAAGATGGCGGCATAGCACTGACCCGGTGGCTCAGTCGGTTGGAGTATCATCCCATGCACCAAAAGGTTGCAGGTTTGATTCCCAGTCAAGGCATTTACATAGGTTATGGGTTCAATCCCCAATTGGGGCGCATATGAGAGGCAACTGATCTATGTTTTTCCTCTCATATTGATGTTTCTCTCTCTCTGAAGTTAATAAAAACATATTTTCAGGTGAGGATTAACACACACACACACACCAAGAAACAATGAGGTGTAGGTAAACACCCTGCTCAGAACCTACCACCATCACATCAAAATTACAACTAAATTACAGAACTGACACCCTTTAGAATGCCTGAAATCTAGCTGAACAGAAGTCCTATAATAAAGGATATAAAGAAGAAGCCACATGGAGACTGGTAGAGACTGGTAGAAAGGGTTGAGACTTAGAAAGGGCTGGCCCTACATCTATGTGTGGAGTTTCAAAAGGGAGAGGGCCCTGGCCAAGTAGCTCAGTTGGTTAGAGCATCCTCCAGATCAGTGGTCGCCAACCGGTGGTCTGCAGATCACAGGTGGTTTGTGAGGTCCGAAAGGTTGGCGACTGCTGCTCCAGATGAACCAAGGTTGTGGGTTCAAACTCTGACCAGGGCACATACAAAAGAAGCAACCAATGAATGTATAAGGAAGTGGAACAAATCGACTACCTCTCTCTCAAAAATCAATAATAAAATTGCCTGTGCACTGAGTTACTCGGACTCACTCTGAATTCCAGCACAGGGGCAGCAGCTGGAAAAGAGCCAGGGACATATGGGAAGGACCTGAATTGTCTGGCTTCAGGACAAGGGCTGGAGGGGAAGCTTTCTCTCAGACAGAAGTGTTGGCAGAGGCCATTGTTCCTTTGTTGACCCCCCCCCCCCCCCCCCGCAAAGAATATCAACCTGGCCAACACTGCTCTCCCGCCCTTGTGAATCTCTGAGATCTAACTTGTGGGCCCACCCAAGCTGTTTCCAATGGCTTTTCCATACAAATGGCCTCTCTTGCTTGGCTCATGCTTCTGACTTTCCTAAAATCTTTCAAACAAGCAGCATCTGGCCTCAGCATGACCCATACCTCTGGCTAAGTGACTCCAGGCCTGGCACTAGTGGCAGCCAGTTTCGATTCATAGCTTGGCCTCTCCTGGGCACTTCTAAACCCAGCACAAGTAGCAGCCATTTGCAGATCACCAGGTGGCCCAGGGCAGGGCACAGATGGTGGCTGACCTTGCACCCTCTGGAAGGCCCCGACGCCAGTGCACTTGATGGACAACTTCAGACCACACCGGATTATAACCCAACCACCTCCATGAGCGACACATTCAAGGGGTGAACTCAGTGGGCAACAAAGCCCTACTGAA